AACTAACGTTAAAAAAGTGAAATCGCAATCAACCACCCCTTTTAAGAAACTTCAACTTCCATGGAACCATTAAAGGTTCTTCATAGTGGAAAAAACCTTCAACATCCACGCTAAGAAAAAAAATGGTTGTTTTAAGAACTGATCACTTCTTCGATGAACCCTCTTTTGGAGAGTTCACACTCTTGAAAATAAAGGTTTTTTTTATTGGCATCGATGGTTCCATAAAGAACCTTTAACATCCACAGAAACTTTAAACGGCAATTTATAGGGGAACTGTTGACTGAAAGGAATGGCATTCCTTTGGCGTTCAACGCAAAAACCTCTTTCAGAACTTTTACTTTTAAGAGTGTATTTCCTCGTCCTGTAATGAATAATCATCCTGTTCCACCTTCACTTGTCCAGGTGCATCTGCGTCGTCATTTTGATGGCCAGACGTCGTCGTCGTCGTTCCCTGGCAGCGAGCCTGATGCTTGAGGAAACTGTCTCTCCAGACGATCTTCTTGCCGCAGAGCGCGCACTCATACGGACGCAGGCCTCCGTGCGTCTTGACGTGTTTGGTCAGGTGGTGCTTCATCTTGAAGCTCTTGGAGCAGACGGGGCAGGCGAACGGACGCAGGTTCAGGTGCTGCATTTTCACGTGGCGGTCGCGCATGCTCTTCAGCGTGTACGCTTTGCCGCAGTGACAGAAGTGGACTTTGGGCGTCGCAGAGAGAGGAGAGCACGGGGAGGACGAGGACGACTGCGAGACCCAGGAGAGCTCGGACGTTCCCGGAGCCAACTGGTTGGACGTTGGCGGTGGCAAAGGACGCTGGGAAATCTGCCCCGTGGCCTTCTCGATTTCGTCGTAGGTCTCGAACGCGACGTCCGTTTCGTCCTCCTCATCTTCGTCCAGGAGCTTGGCGTCTGACAAAGTCCACTGGTTCCACAGTTCGTCCGTCTCGCAGCTCTCGCTCTCTCTGAGACGTCCGTCCGCCTCGACGGCTCCTGAGAGAAGACAAGAGCAGACAACAAGTCAAAAACACGTCGGTTCTCCACGTTTCCCCCTGGTGGACGGGCGCTAAACTGCAGTGATGAAGAAGCTCCACTCACCGGCCTGGTGCTCCTCACACTTCACCCTCACTTTGTCCTCATCGAGTGGCTCTCCGACTCCTTCATCCGCTTCCATCCTCCGCTGCTCCTCGTCTTCCTTCGCTCCTCGGAGGCGAGCGCGGATTCGGTGCCTTGCGAAGTCTGAAGTTTCGATGGACGGCAAAGGCGCAACGGGGAATGCGTGGAAACCTTCAAAGGCGCAACGGGGAATGCGTGGAAACCTTCGTCTCCCGTATTTGGGCCGCATTCGGGCTCCGTTCGGACGGGGAACGTCAGGCTGCTTCTGCTCCACCTGCTCTGAGTCGGACGCCTCCATGTGGCCAGAGGCGGAAGCGCGCTTTGCGGCCGTTTTTCCAGAGTTTGTTCGCTCGCCGCTCGCTCCCCGTCCTCCGGATCGGCGAAGCAGCAGTCGGAGCTGCTGGGCGACTGGTGACTGGAGGACGCCGCCCCGCCGGGGGTGACCTGAACCAAAGGTCGCGACCTCTTCAGGATGTCCGTGCACTTGTCCACGATGTGCCACATCTGCAGGAAGCTGGCCACCGTGACGTAGTTGATGATGTCGTCGCGCACGATGCTGAGCTGACCCGTGTAGGCCGAGTTTAACACGCTCTCGAAGGCCAGAGGGTCCATGACTGAGGGAAGAGACACCGTGGTGACGTTCTTCAGCAGAACCTGGCAACAGAACCGCAGTGTTCAGAGCCGCTCCAGTTAGAGCTACGCCGTTTGTCCGTGCAGGACTGTAATGTGTGCTGTAGCATACTATGCTTTTCTGTTGCTAAATAACCAGGGGCCAGATT